ACAGTGAGAACAATCATCACAAGATAACAAGGCATTCTGGGTAAGACTCAGACAGGGCTCGGTGCGAAGTTTGAACTGACAGTCTGTGATCAGCAGGCAAGCCGGAAACCTTAGTCTGAAGAAGGTTTGAAAACTCTGGCTTGTGCCCGCGACTGTCTGACGTGAGGTCTCTGTTGCAAATATCAGTTATGGCCATCACTCCACTTCCTGGGGTTTTTGTGTCAAAGAAACCGGAGTGCTGAGCAGATGGGAAAGAAAAGCAAGCGTCCAACCGGCAGACATTGATAAATGGATATCTGAATTAACACATGGATATCTGAATTAACACTCAGTCGTGCAGGCAAAGGAAGGAACTCCTCTGAGCGCGTGATGAAACAGTACAAACTTGATCAAGGTTGACCATCTAATGAAACCCAAAAGACAGTCTGTCACAGAACCTGCTCAAAGCTGCCGCTCAGTGTGCCTTGGGAGAAACTATGATGGCTAAACTGACTCAGAATTGGTTATTTTGGCGGGCAGATGCATTCCCTTTCTCCTCCGTATATGCAGCCATCTCTAAGCAGAAAACATGAGTAACTCCATGAGAGTTACTGCATGAGAGTTACTGCGCTGGTCAGGCCACACCTGGAATATTGTGTGCAGTTCTGGAGGCCTCTCTTCAAAAAGGACATGGACAGAATGGAGCGGGTGCTGGGGAAAGCGATGAGGATGATCGGGGGCCTGGAGACCAAGCCATGCGAGGAAAGGTTGAGGGACTAGGGAATGATCAGTCTGGAGAAGAGGAGGTTGAGGGGACACGTGATTGCTCTCTTGAAGTATTTGAAGGGCTGTGACTTAGAGGAGGGCAGGGAGCTGTTCCTGTTGGCAGCAGAGGATGGGACTCACAATCATGGGTTAAGGGTGGGAAGGTATCGGCTGGATATAAGGAAAAGCTTTTGTACAGTAGGAGTTGTGCAACAGTGGAATCGGCTGCCTAGGGAGGTGGTGAGCTCCCCCTCACTGGCAGTCTTTAAGCAGCGGCTGGACAAACAGTTGTCAGGGATGCTCTAGGCTGATCCTGCCCTGAGCAGGGGGTTGGACTAGATGGCCTATATGGCCCCTTCCAATTCTGTGAGTCTGTGATTCTATAACTGCAATAAGATGAAGCCAGCTACATAGGTAAATGGCTAAAGTAAAGGTAAAGGTTCCCTTGCTCGAAAGCCAGTCGAGTCCGACTCTAGGGTTGCGGTGCTCATCTCCGTTTCAAAGCCGAAGAGCCAGCGCTGTCCGAAGACATTTCTGTGGTCATGTGGCCGGCATGACTAAACACCAAGGCGCACGGAATCCTGTTCCCTTCCCACTGAAGTGGTACCTATTTATCTACTTGCAATTTCTTGCTTTCAAACTGCTAGGTTGGCAGGAGCTGGAACTAGAGACGGGAGCTCACTCTGTCATGCGGCACACCCGGGTCTCGAACTGCTGAACTACCAACCTTCCACAGCCTGCAGATCAGTGTCTTAACCACTTGAGCCACCGCAGCTCAAGATAAATGGCTAATTGTGCTTTAATTCCAAAACAATCTACCCCCTGAACAGAGGAAATCTGAACACTTGAGCTTAACGTATATGCTCTGAACCAATTCAGTTTCACCAACTGTCATCTAGTTGGTATACACGTGCCCAATTAAAATGCTCTCTCTCAAACCAACGTATTTCCAGATTTTATTTTTTACGAGTATTCGTGTTGCAGCAGGAGGAAATGCACGGACAAGCCAAGCCAAAAAGGTGGTGCGTGGCCAGAGGACATGAGGGAGGTGCGACCAAATAGGGTATGGATGGTTCATCCCTTTGAACAGGCTCTCTCTATATTCTGCATTTTCAAATGTATCGCCTTAACCCTGAAAGCTGGATCTGTGCTTTTGCTTGCTGAAAATCAACAGCTGAGATCCTCAGAAGGCAGGTGCCATTCCTGCATTCCATTACATTCCCACATTAAGCCGATTCCGCTTTCTTAGGATTATCATAGGAACCAGGAGAACACTGTTACCGGCCTGCGTTAATTTGCACGGATCGATGGGCGTTTCCCAGCCCCTGTAACCATAGATGCCACTGGTAGCCCATTACCACATAGAAGAACACATTAAATCTGTACAGCCATCAAGCAAAGAGAGATGAATCACTAAACATTAATGCCTGGATTTGTCCTAAGGCTTTAGTCAGGCAAGAGAAGCTCTGGGTGCCTGGTTTGCTTGCCTCCGTACAAGAACTGTGTCATAAATCACAAGGGCTGTCCTATTAACAATGGGCTATTCAGAACAGACATCTCTGCGGCACAGTTGCCAGCTTTATCCAGAGCCATATGTCTAGTTAGCGGCGCAACGGCGGCCTGGCCACCTGTGGAAAGAGGGCCTCTTCAGCTGTGAAGTGTTTCCCGTCAGCTGCTACACACAATGTGGTCATTCAACAGTCAAGGAGGACTTCCGATGAGTGTTTGTGAGGCAACCACCGGGATTTTATGAAGTGAAAGAAGGGGATAGGATTTCACGTCACACGGAACTGAGCGTAGTCGATGTAATGATCGCAAAAGAACTTTAAAGTTTTCTGCATAATACTCTACCAAACAACTTGCCTCGATGATGTTCCGGGCACAGGCAGGTATTCATGGGGTCCTCAGGTCAGAGCATTCAGGGTGCTCAAGACAATGGCCTAAACAACCTTCAAATGGTGTCAAATGCTCTGGGTTCTGACCACACGCCTTCCATTAATGGCTGAAAAACCACTAGTACGGTCCAAGGCAGAGTTACACCCTTCTACAGCCATTCAAGTCAATGGCCTCAGAAGGATGGAACTCTGTTGAGGATTGCCCTGTACCCCCAGAATAGCCTTTTGAAAGTTCTGCCAACAATTCCACTGGCTTTTGGTGTCTCTCAGGGTATGGGCCTGGCTGTTCTTTGGGCTCCCTCCACACCTCTGATTCACCAATTCTGGCCCAAGATTTAGAGTTGCCAGGTGCCTTCGAGATGCCAGTGGGGGGATGGGGGGATGCTTCAGGAGCCAGAAGCGTCACCCCCAAAGTGCCAACGTCACCAGAAGTGACTTTGTGTGCTGTGCCTACATCACCCGGAAGTGATGTAGGCACATTGGGGGCCACACTCTAGTTTTTGGGCAAAACTCTATGGTAAAATTGCCCTTAAACCATAGAGTTTTGCCCAAAAAACAGAGTCCCCCCCCCCGGATGTCACCAATGTGCCTACGTCATTGTTATGTTGTTCCATGTTGTGGGGGTGAGGGGGATTTGCTCTCGTCGGCCAGTTGGCCAGTGGTGTGCAGAAGCTCACAAAACCAGGGGACCCCCCGCTCCCAACTTGGGGATTGGCAACCCTAGCGGGACAAAATTATTTTAAATAAATATTTTAAAGCTTTTTAAAATGAACAAGTGAGTAGGAAATGCATCACCAGCTCCCCCTCCTCTTGCATTTCTCAAACAGAACAAGAGTGATAGCATTCTGTTCACTTTCTTTGGAAAACTGTCTTAGATCGCGAAGGGGAATAAAAAGCATTTGCAAAGGAAATGTACGAAGTTCTGTATCGTCAATCGCAAGCAAAATTTCACTTGCAAACGATAAACCACCTGCTTGCAGGTGTGATACTCCGGCTTTGCCAGGCAACAGCTCTGGTCCCACAAGCACTGAAGGCCTATTCCAGAGGTGCAGCACGAAACGTCAGTGGTGAGATTCCTTATCGTTACTTCCCTCTCTATTAGTGATATATTGGCCCCACGCTGCCATACTGCTCAAGGAAACTATCACGTTGCCATAGCTGGGGAAACTGTAACCTCATTCTCTCAGTTGGCTGAAATTGTTCAACAAAATTTTGGCCAGTTTAACAGGCACACTTGAGCACTCAGCTATGAAAACTTGGTTGTCCATAATTTTTTAAAAATACCCAGGATGATATACAGAACAATTAAACTTAGGCTTGCCAGCTCCCAGGTCTGGGCGGGGGATCCCCTGATTTCAGGGGCTTCTGCCCGCCACGGACCAGCTGGCTGGAGAAGGAAACCCTGCCCACAATCACGTTACCCGGGAGTGACATCATCATGTCGGGGACGCTCTGGTATTTGGGCAAACTCTATGGTTTGAGGGTGAAAAAACCATACCGTTTTGCTCAACTACCAGAGTCATATGACGTCCCTACCCACCCCTGGAACACCCCTCAAATACACCCACCAGAGTGATGAGGGGATCTGGCAACCCTAATTAAACTAACAAAAATGGGAGCACTGGAGCAAACAATCAACCCTATGCAATAGGATCTCTGACAAAACATGGTTGTATATGTGATTTTCCACATAATGTATTAGCTATTTTAGGGGTAGTTTAACATCCAGCAGAGCCGAGTGTTAAAGCTTGCTTATGTCACCAAACTGGAGGGGGCGGGGTGCATGTTTAGATATCCCCCCTTCCCATTGTCAGTCTCTCTGCACACAAGACGGGCAGGGACAAGTCCAAGCCCAAATCCTTTCACGTTTGCTTTAATTGGGGAAGAGTGTCAGTCCTCACACCTGGCACCCTAAGTGGTATGGTCCAGGAAGAACTTTACCGCTCGATTATGCTAAATGGGTCTAATCCAGGAACACAAAACTTCCAACCCCTTTGCTACACAGAAATGCATATAGATGCCAGCCTCCAGGTGGCACACAGAAATCTCCCGTTATTACATTTGATCTCCAGATGAACAAGATCAGTTCCCCTGAAGAAAATAATTGCTTTGGAGTGTCGGGTCTATGGCATTAGACCCTGCTGAGGTCCCTCCCCCCTCCCAGGCTCCCCCCCCCCAAACTCCCCAGGTTTTTCCCATCCCAGAGTTGGCAACCCTAGAAAAGCAGCACCTTTATTTCATCAGAAAAGTGCATGGCCTTGAAACTGAACAATTCACATTTACTCCCTTAAGCAATTCAGGCATTTGCCCTTTGGGGAAAACAACCGCTTCTTCTCCCACCCATTCAAGCTTGACACTCACCACTGATGTTTATTGCTGGCAACACGATGGACATCTTGGGCCGCCTGGTCTTATTGTGTGTTGTGGCTGGCAGCAACAGATGATCCTGGAAAATGTTGGAATATACGTTAGTGTTGGTGCTTTGGCACGTGTACGCTGGGCATTCACAACTAAGGAGATGCCTCCTCGTAACTTGGCATTTAGATTCTAGCAGGCAGTAAGAATTCAAACTCTAGCATGGTGACAATAAGCCAAGGACAGAAGTATCAGGAAATCCAACGGAGCCAGTTAGGAGTAGGTGAAATGGCCTGCTTCTGCTCGCAGCAGCAATATAGTCCTGCATTCAGGACTGGAGCTAATATTTTTGATTTTTATGAGCCAGATGTTCAAAAGGTCCCCTTAAAAACAGTAAGGCTTCCTCTAGAGCTTCAGGGCTCTTGTTAAGTTGCCACTTCACCGTTCTTCCACTTTCATCTGTCCACCAGAGAACTCTCAGCCCCCACAACAAAACTTCTGGCTTTTACCTAGCCACCTTTGAAAGCACATGCAAGCTAGGAGCTGTGTGACCCTAAATTCTGGCTGCAATCTCCTTTTCCTAGTTCCGGGGTAAGCTTCGATACTATCTGGCTTTCTTCAGGCTGCCACAAAGTCAGTTTTACAGCATCGGAAAGAAGGGGACATCTGGCAGCGATGTAAGTAAAATGTGCTCAACAAAACAGGCCAGGTTACAAACCAGGGACCCATTCAGCCTCCAGCTATATCTATTAGGGGAACGAGTCTGCTGTTAATAAAAGGACGTTCATGACGAGACGCTGTTTGGGATGCGGCCATCAGTTTTGAAAAGTGTCAAAGCGCAAGAAAAGTAAAAATAAAGTAAAATAAATAACGTGATATGTACTCAGTTTTCATTTCACTTGGAGACCAAGGCTAAAGTTATGCCTTACAGAAGAAGAGGAACCACAGTCAGCAAATTATGCAGAAAAATATAGGCAGGGCTTTTTTTTGTAGAAAAAGCCCAGCAGGAACTCATTAGCATAACAGGCTACACCCCTGACAGCACAGTTCATTAGCATAATAGGCCACACCCCCGTGCCTTCTCTTGGCTTGCCTGGGCGCCCTTGGACAGACCAGGAGAGGCACGGGGAGGCATTTAAATGCCTCCCCGATCCTTCCAGGGGCCCCCTGGCCTTCCTGCCTCGGAGTCGCGGGGTGTGTGTGTGTCGCTCTCCAGGCCTTCCCTCTGTAGCCACGCACACAGAGGTTTTGGCTGTAGTGGGCATGGACAGCTCTGAAGCCAGCTGGAACTCCGTTCCTGCGCTTTCTTTCACAGTCATATTTCCTATATTTTTCTTCCTTTTTTACAGAAGAAGAGGGCAGACCAATGATGGGGTGGGGAGAGATAAGGCACAATAAGGGAGAACAGGCAGAGCTTTTCGAGAAAGACCTTCCAGTGACTGAGGGTGGTAAAATCTGAGAAGCATAAGTTCACAGGCAAGGATATATTGAGGTAAAAGGGTGGGCAGCCACAACAGGGGCAATGCTGTGGAGAACTTCAGAGGCAAAAGGGCAAACACAGATGAGAAGACGCCTCTGTCCCTCTAGGAAATGCAGGGCGCAGGCTCCGTTTGCCAAAGGGCTGTGCATGGGAGGATATTAACCCTTCAACCCCCATCCCCTTTGATTTGCTAAGTAAAGCCCTGTTCGTTTATTAACATTTAAAAGGGGAGACATCATTTTAAAGGACACATCTTTCCCCTCCCCTGAACTACCCCTAGAAGCTAAAATGACTGAACAGAGGCTATCGTACTTTGGTCACGTTACGAGAAGATAAGACTCACTGGAAAAGACAATCATGCTGGGAAAATCTGAAAGCAGCAGGAAAAGAGGAAGACCCAACATGAGAAGGACTGACTCAACCAAGGAAGCCACGGCCCTCGGTCTGCAAGACCCGAGCAAGGCTGTTAACGAGAGGATGTTTCGGAGATCATTCATTCATAGGGTTACCATAATTTGGAAGCGGGTTGATGGCACTTAACACACACTTTCCCCCTTTAAAATGCAGAGAGAAAAGCTGGTTTCAGTTAGCAATCTGCAAAACTGAAGGGAAGTTGAAGGGTTAAGCCCCTCTCCCTTCCCTGCACCCACACTGTCCTGACAGAGGCGGAGGCTGCAGTAGCCTGTCGCTTGCATTTTATAGTAAAGGTAAAGGTTCCTTTGCTCGAAAGCCAGTCAAGTCCGACTCTAGGGTTGCGGCGCTCATCTCCGTTTCAAAGCCGAAGAGCCAGCGCTGTCCGAAGACGTTTCCGTGGTCATGTGACCAGCATGACTAAACACCAAGGCGCACGGAACGCCGTTACCTTCCCACCAAAGTGGTACCTATTTATCTACTTGCAATTTCTTGCTTTCAAACTGCTTAGGTTGGCAGGAGTTGCATTTTATAGATGGACGCAAATGTACCGCCTTCATTTCAACTGTTTTTGTCCACAGACAAGGAGCCTGCGATGAAGAAAAATACTGAAGCCAGTCATCTGAAGGTACCTTCAAGCTAACATTCTGTCAGCTATGCTGCCGTGATGTTTATGGGCGAGAGTGCATCTGCTTGACCTGTGTACCAACTGCTGCCGCATTCCTTCATCCTTGCTTATCAATGACCTTGCTAGCTGCCTGTGTAGTGTCTTCTCATCAATTACCCCTGGGATAAGTTTCGATTCCCAGCTTTGGCTTTAATGGCCTGGGGCCCCATTCTCCCGCCTACGGGAGTCGGGCAGATGAGGAGTGGGAGGGGTGCATACGAATACCCTATATGCTATTATGCTTGTAGGAAGGTAGCCATTCCTAACTAGGCTTGCCAAGTCCCCCAGGGGGGCAGGGAAACCCCCACCCCAGAGGCCCGTTCCCCGCTGCCAGCGGATCAGGACCCAGGGGGAACCCCACCCCAATGTGCACGTCACCCGGAAGTGACGCGACCACGCCGGGCACGCTGGGGGCGGGGTCACGATCATCCGAGGGAAAACTCTATGGTTTTCCCTCGGATGGTCGTGGCCCCACCCCCAGCCTGCCCAGCGGCGTCACGTCACTTCTGGGTGACGTGCGTGCAGCGCGCGCACCCTCCAGACACCGGACAGGACTCCCCCGCTACGGAGGAATTTACACTTGGCAACCCTATTCCTAACAGTGACGATGTAACTGCCTCTATAGCTCTTACAATAAAGTATAACCTTATGATAAGCGTGTGCTCCTTTGTTTGGCTGTGGAACCTGACACATTCACTTTCTGAACGTGCGGAGGCAATCACCTGACTTATTAGTCTATCAGCCTAAGCAATAGGGTTGCCAGCCTCCAAGTGGGGCCCGGAGATCTCCCAGAACAACAAAGGATCTTCACCCACTCCACCTCTAGCTCTGGAAACCAGTTCAAGGGCTAGGCTCAAATGAAGACCTGCCTCCTGGTATAGCGGAGTTGTCTTCTGGGTCCTTGTTCATACAGCGCGCAAAACCGTATCCCCCCCCCCCCAAAAAGCTTTGAGCGATGCATACCCTGATCTGCTGTATGTTGCAAGGGCTGGGCTGCACAAACAGATGAAATGCATAAACACGACGAACACAGAATTCCACCTCTCCCCCCCCCCCCGCGGCCCCCCATTGGCCCTTTTC